TAGAAGAATTGGTGTGATTATACTTAAAATATTTGGTAGAATTCACTACCAGATGGTAGAAGCCATCTGGTCCTGGGCTTTTCTTTATTGGAAGGTTTTCTGATTACTCTTCAATTTTGCTACCAATTATAGATCTATTCTGATTTCCTGTTTCTTCTTGAATTCATTTTGGTAGATTATGTGTTTTTAGAAATTTTCCATTTTATCTAGTTTTACTTAATTTGTTAGTGCACAACAGTTCATTGTATTCTTTTAAATCATTTTTATTTCTGTAAAACAGGTGGTAGTGTTCTTACTTTGCTCATCAAAACTTTTGACTTTTTAAAAAGTCACAAAAGCAATTCAGTGAACAAAAGATATTCTTTTCACAATGATGCCAGAAATAAGACCAGTAGACTATCCATAGGTGATGAAAATGAACTTGACCTAAGCTTCACACATTATAAAAAAACAAAAACAAAACAACAACAACAACAAAACACACACACACACACACACACACACACACACACACACACACAAACTGAATGATAGATTTCCATGTAAAACTTTTAGAAGAAAATGTTAAGAGAAAATCCCTGAGAACCAGGGTTTGGCGAGGAGTTCTTAGATATGACACCAAAAGCACGAGTCATAAAAGAAAAAGTTGAGAAATTGAACATTGTAACAATTTCAAACTTTTGCACTATGAAACCCTTGTTAAGGCAATGAAAAGATACACTACAGATGGAGAAAAGATACTCGCAAACTTCATATCTGACAAATAACTCATATCTAGAATATATAAAGAACTCTGAGAGCCAGATGTGGTGGCACGAGCCTGTGATTGCAGCTACTTTGGAACTGAGGTGGAAGATCACTTCCAGGAGTGATCCCTTCCAGTAGGTGAAGGATCACTGCCCAGGAGTTCAGGACCAGCCTGGGCAACCTGGTGAGACCCTGTCTCAAAAAAAAAAAAAAAAGAACTTTCAAATCTCAACATTACAACACCAATGAGAAAATAGGCAAAAGTGGGCAAGGCATGGTGGCTTACACTTGCAATCTCAGCACTTTGGCAGGCTGAGGCAGGAGGATCACTTGAGGCCAGGAGCTCAAGACTACCCTAGGCAACATAGTGAGACACTGTCTCTACCAAAATTTCTTCAGAAAATTCACTGGTGTGGTGGTGTACACCTGTAGTGCCAGCTACTCAGGAGGTTGAGGTGAGAGGATCCCTTGAGCCCGGGAGTTTGAGGCTGCAGTGAGCCAGGATCATGCCACTGCACTCCAGTCTAGGCAACAAAGCAAGACCCCACCTCTTGAAAAAATAGGCAAAAGACAAAGAGATATTTCACCAAAGAGGGTATATGGCAAGTAAGCACATGAAAAGATATTCAACATCATCAGACTTTCAGGAAATGAAAATTGACACCATGATGAGATCTCACTACATACCTATTAGAATGCCTAAAATATAAAATAGTGACAATACCAAATGCTGAAGATTCTAGTTTCTCTGCTGAAGATTCAGAGAAACTAGAACTCTTAGACATTGAGAGTAATAGGAATGTAAAATGGCACAGCCACTCTGGAAAATAGTTTGGCAGTTTCTTCAAAACTAAATCGTCTGTTACCATCTGACCCGGTAATTGCACTTCTGGGCATTTATATCAGAGAAATAAAAACCTTATGTTCACACAAACCCCTGCTCATGAATGATCCTAGCAGCCGTATTCATAATAGGCAATAGTTGGAAACAACTCACATATCCTTAAACAGGTAAATAGTTAAACCAACAGGGGCATGGAATGCCATGGAATATGACTCAACGGTAAAAAGATTGAAGTATTAATACACATAGCAGCTGGGATAGAGTGCAGGGCATTTGGCTTAGTGAAAAGGCCAACCTCAAAAGCCTGCATTCAGGGTGCTTGTGGCTATGCAGATGTGCATTGGTGATACGTGCCATACACCTGTGCACACACATTGCATGAATGTCAGGTTCTTGGCTGTGAGAACACACTGGACTTGTGAAAGCTAGACCATGGACAGAAGCTGGGTGGAGCATGCACAGTGCCCTCTGTACTATAGCGATATGCCCTGTGACTCCACAACCATTTCCAAAATAAAACCTATTTTAAGGCCCTAGGGGAGAAGGTATGGCAATTTGACAACTTTGGATGGATTGCAGTTTGTTTTAGATGTATACAATGATATTTTTTTTTTAAAGAAAGATGGGATCCTTATGTTTCAGAAACTTACGCTTTGGTGTTTACCAATGAAATTGGCTTTTCCCTAGAAACTGTCCAGTGGGGAGGGGAATTAGATGAAACAAAAGTGGCCACATGTTGAGAACTGTTGAAGCTGGACAATGAATATACAAGATTCTTTATGCTATTTTCCTTTCTTTTGTGCACTTTTGAAACTTTTCATAACAAAAGTTTTTTAAACACAAATGAAATAAAGATCATGAGTATTCCTAGGGACTTGTGGCTGTGTACATGGTTAGGAGCAGGCCCTTAGCTCCTTCTCACAAACTGGGTTTAGGCCACTGCCCACAAGTGGGAGGCAGAGTGTATTAGTCCATTCTCACAGTGCTATAAAAAAACACCTGAGACTGGGCAATTTATGAAGAAAAGAGGTTTAATTGGCTCACAGTTCCACAGGCATCACAGGAAGCAAGACGCGGAAGCCTCAGGAAACTTACAGTCATGGTGAAAGGGGAAGGGGAAGAAAGCACCTTCTCCACATGGCAGCAGGAAAGAGAGTGAACGAAGAGAGAAGTGCCACACCATTTTAAACAATCAGATCTCATGAGAACTCATTCACTGTCATGAGAACAGCAGCAGGGGAAATCTGCCCCCATGATCCAATCACCTCCCACCACCTTTAATTCAACATGAGACTAGGGCAGGGACACAAGTCCAAACCATATCCCAGGGGGTTTCCCAGGTCAGTTCTGGGGGCACAAGTGGAGCTTTAACTGTGTTCCTGACGTTGGCTCTGCAAGGCCTCTGGGCTCCACCTTTGAGGAACTTGCCATTTGCCACCCCAGTCATCCTCCCAGCTTCCATCTGTTCAAGTCTTCATTCTTCCATTCACCATTTATCTGTTTCTTCCATCTGTTTACTCATTCATTTATTTAACACCTAAATGTTGACATTAATGAGTAAGGCATGTCTCCTGCCTTCAAGGAGCTCAGTGTCTAGTTGTGGGGAGTCAGGCCAACAAGCATACAGGGATGTGTTTCCTGCTGTGAGAGTTGTCTGTTCACGCTTTCTGAGAGTAACATAGAGGCGTGGATGGGTCTCACACAGAGGAGGAAATGCTTGAAGTGAGTCTTCAAAGTTCCTATTTTCACTTATGTTGGGCCCATGTGGATAATCCAAGATAATCTTCCCATTTTGAGGTCAGCTGGTTAGCAGCCCTGGTTCCATACACAACCTGAATTCTCCTTTAATTCCTCACGTAACGTAACATATTCACAGGCTCTGGGGATGCCATCTTTTCATCTTTTGGAGACCATTATTCTGCCTCCTGCAAAAAGAGAGTCCAGATGCAGACCCAGCTATATAGAAACTCAACTCAAGGACAGAGAAGACATTGTAGGTTCATGGAAAGGACTTCCCGTTTCATGAATGGTGCTGAGCCCACAGATTATCCTTAGAGAAGAAAGAAATTGGATTCCAACCTCACTCCGTACACAAAAATCATTTCCAGGTGGATTAACAGCATACATGTCAAAAGAAAAGCTATAAAACATTAAAGAATAACAGAGAAGACTTTATGACTCTGAGGCTGGAAAGAATTTCCTAGACACAGAAAATATACACCAAGTAGGACTAGATTGACAGATTTGTCTATATTAAAATTAAGGACTTCTGCTTTTTATTTATTTATTATTATTTAGTTTTTTGTAAATTAAGGACTTCTGTTCATCAAAATTACCTTAAAAATAATAACAAGCCACAGCCGGGCATGGTGGCTCACACCTGTAAATCCCAGCACTTTGGGAGGCCGAGGTGGGCGGATCACAAGATCAGGAGTTCGAGACCAGCCTGACCAACATGGTCAAACCCTGTCTCTACTAAAGATACAAAAAATTAGCCAGGCATGGTGGCGTGCACCTGTAATCTCAGCTACTCAGGTGGCTGAAGCAGGAGAATCACTTGAACCCTGGAGGCAGAGGTTGCAGTGAGCCAAGATCATGCCATTACACTCCAGCCTGGATATTATTATATAATATTATATGATTATAATAATAACAAGCCGCAGACTGGGAGGAGATAGTTGTGGCACATCTGAGTGACAGAGGTATCTGTGAAAGACTTGTACAAAATGTGAAAGATCATACAACACAAGACTGTACAGCAGTGAAAATGAAATAATCAACAGCTACACACACAGTTGAGTAAAGAAAACCAGCCAGAGAAGAGTGGATTTGCTGGCTTCCTTTAGACAAGGCCAAAACCTGGCATAACTGACAGAACTAAATGCTAACACAAAGGCATGGGAATGACTTATTAAAAATTCTAACTCTTGGATATCTCTACAAGAGGGGGATGGGAATGGGACTAAAGCAGGGTATACAGGATGTGGAAGGTCAAGTTTCTGGTGTTTTTCTTAAGCAGAGTGATGGGTACCAGGACTATTGATTGTATTAAATTTCAAACCATATTTGTATGTATGTAACTGTATATTTTCTTTGAATACACACATATATATTGCATAACAAAATGTTAACTTTTTCCTAAGGGCCTAATACTATAGCCAACACACTGGAAAATGATTTGTCATTGTACACAACCTAAAGGGGCTTTTGAGCTGTGTGATGGTGAATACTTGTGTTTCCTTGTCAGCCGAGTTGCTGTAGACTGGGATGATGCATTCTTTCACCCAGGCCACATATTTGTGGCAAGGATGGTTTGAGAACCTAGCCCTGCAACCTGCTCCCTCCCCCTGCAGAAGGAGCATTTGTCCTGAACCCATTGCCTTTGCCCAGCTGCTGTCTCTCCTTCCAGCCATGCCTGATGGAGCTCTGGACACAGCTGTCCGCGCTGATGAAGTGGGGAGCGAGGAGGACCTGTATGAGGACCTGCGCGGCTCCAGCCACCACTACAGCCACTCTGGAGGGGGTGGTGAGCAGCTGGCTATCAATGAGGTAGGGTCAGGGCTGCATGGGCAGAGGGAGGGACAGGCTGGGCAGATGTGGCCCTGACTGTCAGGGAACTCCAGCACGCTCATGTGGGCCAGATGCCCGCAGTCCGTGTTCCATGCGGATGCTGGCGGTGCTGGCTGCATTCAGCAGTTTCAGCCTGTGGTCCCCATTTTGGGATTTGGTGTCAAGAGCAGGGTATGTCCAACACAGGACTCTCTGTGCCCTGCTGAGGCCCACAGAGCAGATGCAATGTGGACATGCTGGTCCGCCTCATGGGGCTGTCCTGGTGAGCAGCTGCCAAGCACCCTCTCAGCTGGAGGAGCTCTACTTAGTAGAAGGGAGGCTAGGGCTTCTCGGGTTACTTCAGCCCCTGACCCTCCAACCAGCCATCTGGGCAGCCTGGGGACAAGGCGAGGGAAAAGTATTTTCTCTCCTGTTGACACCAGGAATACAGAAGTATTGCTGTTGCTATGACAGCTGCATGCGAGTTGCTGGGTTTTTGCTCTTCCTACTGAAGCAAAAGAAATCCGTGAGAATCCTCATCCAGGCAAAACTGGTTGCCGTCCGAGTTCTCCCTCTGCATTCCCTGTGAGAGAGAAATCGTGATGCTTAGACGCTCCTCTCTTTCTCACTCACCCTCCTACTTTCTCAGCCTCTTTTACTTAACTGGAGGGGGTTGTTGAATGTCATGGAAGTGTAACCAGATAACCAGCACAAGCAGAGGCCCATAGCAAACGCCATGTTCTCCAGTCAGAAGGTACTGGTGTGTTTCTGCTTCATTAAAACTGGACTCTGACAACACGGGATCTTATAGCACTCAGGTTTTTCCGTAAGAAGGGATCAGTTTCAGAAGAGCTAGGCTTTTCTGTGAATGAATGAGCTGTGAGGCTTCTCAGAAACCAGTGAGGAGGGTGGCATCCTCATTACCCACTGGACAGAGGAGTGGAGTCAAAGGCCCATGAACTCCACCTAGAGGCCCAGCTCTAGATGATGATTTAAAACAGTCATTAAGGCTGGGTGCAGTGGTTTACACCTGCAATCCTAGCACTTTGGAAGGCTAGGGTGGGTGGATCACCTGAGGTCAGGTGTTTGAGACCAGCCTGGCCAACATGGTGAAACCCCATCTCTACTAAAAATGTAAAGATTAGCTGAGCGTGGTAGCAGGTGCCTTTAATCCCAGCTACTTGGGAGGCTGAGGCAGGTGAATCACTTAAACCTGGGAGGTAGAGGTTGCAGTGAGCCGAGATCATGCCACTGCACTCTACCCTGGGTGACAGAACGGCATTCATCTCAAAAATAAATAAAAGGATAATTAAATAATGCACTAGTCAAAATCTATGATGCATAAAGAATAAACATGTGGCCGGGCGCGGTGGCTCAAGCCTGTAATCCCAGCACTTTGGGAGGCCGAGGCGGGTGGATCACGAGGTCAAGAGATCGAGACCATCCTGGTCAACATGGTGAAACCCTGTCTCTACTAAAAATACTAAAAATTAGCTGGGCATGGTGGCGTGTGCCTGTAATCCCAGCTACTCAGGAGGCTGAGGCGGGAGAATTGCCTGAACCCAGGAGGCGGAGGTTGCGGTGAGCCGAGATCGCGCCATTGCACTCCAGCCTGGGCACCAAGAGCAAAACTCCGTCTCAAAAAAAAAAAAAAAAAAAAAAAAAAAGAATAAACATGCAAATAAGCTTTTCCAACCAAAAAAACTCTTTCTCTTTAAGTGCCTCTCATAAGCTATTTGGGATAGAAGGTATTCTGAAGTCATGTCACCTGAAGCAGAATTGAATTCATGGGTAATAGTTGTGGTATTTTTTAAAAGACCAAGGCTGTCTCCTCCACCTTGGGGCTCAGTCCCAGCAAGAGGACCCCAAGGGGGCCTGTTGGATTTGGGGCCTGGAGCACTGAGCAGTGACCATTTGAGCTGGTTCACGTGGCTGTGACACCAGATGGCATGAGGCCGTGAAGGGCTGACGGCAACTGACTGAACATGCCCAGCACGGGTGGGCGCCCAGTATGTCTCTAAGCACGAGGATGATCATTGCAACCAAAGCCCTCAGGGACTCTGGAGAGGCACAGGCTCCATGACTGGCTTATGGCTGCACTGACCTTGAGTCTGCATTTCATAGTTGTGTGTCTCCTACCTGAGGGTGAAATTACGGACTGTCACATCTTGCTGCTGGTGAGGAGGTAGTTCTTTTGGGCTCTGAGTTTCTTGACAAGTTTTTCATTCTAAGATGCTTTGGCCGAGGAAGACCAAGAGCCAGGAATTCTCTGGAAGAAATGAAACATGGCTCTGTCATCTTCATAAGGGAAGGCAGGCAATATAGATTTGGATGTGTAAGCGCCTGTCTGGGCCGCCTCGAGGGTCTGACTCCTGTTTGGTTCAGAGGTCTCTCCTGGCATTGGAGGTTACTGAGCAGACAGGGTGCTGCTGGTATGCCTTACGTTCAGGGAGCGTGTCCCCAGGGAGAAGGACACGCACATCACAGAAGAAAGCAGGAAGTCAGGCAGAGGGAACCCGTCTCCGGCGATGCCGCAGGCTGGCGCTGGGGAGACTGGCTGCTGTCCCAGACAGCACCCACCCACCTCAAGAAGGCCACCAGTGCTTCCAGATCCTGATGTAGAAGGCCACCCTGAGAGAGGCTGGTGAGTAAGAAGGGCAGGCCTGGGCTTAAAGTCCTCGCTGGGTCTAGCACCATGCTGCGGCAAGGCAGTCTCTGTGTTTTGTGGGCGGACGTGGCACCAGAGCCCTCGCTGTGCCCGGCTTGCACTGTTGACTCAGGAAAGGTGGTGCCTGCCTGTTAGGAGCCGGCAGAAGCGTTAAATGGACTCACTCATCGGAAACAGAAAAGATAAGAGGTAATTGTCCCGCTAGTTCCGGGCCTTCAGGGCAGCACTCCTGAGGGCTCAGCCAGAAGCTTTGCTGGGGGTCCGCGTGACTTTCATACCTGAGATGAGCAAAGCAACAGGTGTCACAGAGAAGCCCTCACTCAATAATATTTGGCTTGCCCTAAAATCACATACTCACTTCTATTTTCTAAGAACACGTGGGGGTGAATTGTGACCGTTTCTTATCTTTTGGGGCTCTCAGTTCCTTGACAAGTTGTTCATTCTAAGATGCTCTGGCCGAGGAATATCTAAGCTGTTTGACATCAGCACAAACAAGAAAGGGTCACAATTTAGCCAGATGCCTCCCTCGAAAGCGGAAACCACCTTACAGTTTCCTAAGCAGAACAAATGCAAACTCTGTGGCGTAGAGAGTGGCCGACTTGGGGGTGAGCAACCAGGCAGGTTGCATTCCAGGTCGTGAGGAGTGAGTTTTATGCTTGGACACAGATGTGTGTGCCCGTGCAGTACATAAAGGGTGTGGGTGTGTTGCATACATGTAACGTGTGTGTACTGAGTACTTGTGTCAGGGAGGGAGCAGGCCCTCGGATGCAGCGCTGCAGAGCCATGGTCCTGCCTACAGAGGGCTGCCCAGCAGGCTGTCCGTGTGCCCCCCTGCATTTTTTCCACACGGCCCTGAGGACCTTGCAGAGAGGCGCAATGTCTCGTTCCTTCTGCATTCTTTGTGTTACCTGTGCTCTGCCTCGCGTGCATGTCCAGTCCCTGCCAGACAGATGAAGGAACGCAGACACTGACCGTCTTCAGTGTCCAGGAGTGTCCTCTCTTCTTCCAGCACTGACCCCTCTAGGGGTCACTGACCTCCAAGGCCATAGCCCAGGCCTGAGCCTGTCTGCTCAGTTCCTTGCCCTTCCCACCTTGGCCCTCTTGGGCTGCGCTGTCCCCTTGCAGTCAGGCCCAAGGCCACCCTAAGCCCCCTGGACTTTTTCTGAAGCTAAAGCCAGAAGCGCCTGTTGGTGAGAGTGACCACTCAGCCCTGCCCCACCATGTGGGCGGTGCTGCCAGTGCAAGCCATAACGCGACCAGGTGAGAGGACGGCCTGGCTGCTGCTGGGGAGGTCTGGGGTCTCCCACTGCCCACGGGCACCTGTGGACGGCAGCCTGTGCCCAGCTCGTGTCTTGCAGCATCCTGTGAGCTGCTTCTGCCCTGTCTCATGGAGCGCCTCAGCCCAGCCTGTTGTGCAGCCTAGTGAGGAGGAGCACCAGGTGTCTGGGGCACTGACAGGCATCAGGCTCCTCCCTGGGGCTGAGGAGGGGGAAAAAGAGCCAGGTCGGACTGGGGACAGACACCCTGCAGGACATGAGGTCACAGCCAGAGCTTCCCCTCACCCTTAACTCTGTTCATTCCCCGAAAGGCTCTGAGGGCCTTGGGGTTTTGGGGTCCCCTCCTCATGCCTGTGTGTAGTGCCACTCTGGTCTCCCTGCTCCAGGACATGCAGCCATTGAACTTGTCATCTCAACTAGGCTGGAAGCATAAAAGGCGGTGCCAGCAGTAACTGGGCCAGCCCCTGAGTGCAGAGCCAACAGTCCTCCTGACCAGCCAGTGTCAGCCGAAATAGAAAGCAATCTTGCTACCCTTGCCTCATGGCATTCTCCATGAGATACCCCGAGGACACTACAGGACATGAGGCCAGCTGTTGGCCACCCCTCAGAGTTCGTGTGACTGGCTCCAGGAGTCTTTGTCTTCCCTGAGTTCCCGTGAGGCTGGACATCCCTCCCCAGGCCTGACCTGGCTCTCGTTCCCCCTCCTCAGCCCTGGGGAGGAGCCTGATGCCTGGCAGTGCCCCAGACACCTGGTGCTCCTCCTCACTAGGCTGGACAACGAACTGGGCTTAGGGGCTCCAAGAGACAGGGCAGGAGCAGCTCACAGTCCCTTGGCACCACTGCTGCCACTTTCACGCAGGGCTGCAAGGTCACCTGGTGGCCAGCTCCCCTAAAGTGGGTTTTCTCTTTCCTTTGTCCTCCCAAGGCCACAGCACTGGGGGCTCAGCCCTCATCTGCCCCAGACACCTCTGTCTCTCTTCTGCTCCTACATCAGTCCTGTCACTAGCCTAGCCGCGCTACTCCCATCCCTGGTGGAAGCCATCTGTCCAACCCCT